CCCCCCAGCCCAACAGGCTGGCATCCGTGGTGACCACCGTCCAGTGAATGGGAAGGAAGGACTTGCCCAACACCAGGGACGGAGACCGAAGCCACCAGACCAGGGAGGCCCTCGCATCCCGAGACAACCGAACCACCCGGTCCAGCGACAAAGGGGACTTGTCCCACAATCCGCAGACACCAAGGGAGACTGGGAGAGGGGCGCAGAAGTACAGGCTGCGCAAAGGGGGGATGTGGGAGAGGTCCCTGAGGAGAGGCCGCAGCCCTCACAGGGCACTGCAGTCAGCTTGTCCCCACAATCCATGTCCCCGGCAAATATATATGCCAAACCAGAGCCCCAGCACAGGAAAGAGACCCCAGCAGGCACCGCCCTCGTCCCTAGTGGGTGGAGGAGGGGGGGAGCATGTGGAGCTAAAGCATCCAGCCAGCAGCCTGAGGGAAGTGCTGTGACTGGACGGCCGAGACCCCCAGTCATATGCACCCCCCTGGGACGAACCCACAGGCCACCCCGCCGGAGCGGGGCCGTCGTAGCCGACCCACCGTAGCGGGCCTGCATACGCTCGCTGGTTATCCAGGGGAGACTCCAAGGATCCGAGACATCCAGCCTGTCGCCCGGACAACACTTGCTAGAAGAATCCTCTGAAAAAAATCAGGAAGAAGCAGGTAAGAATACCGAGGAAAATTCTTAGCTCCTTACTCCTGACGCTAGGCAAAAAACTGGAGACTTCTCAGTAGGTGGGGGGTTTGGCCACCGGCAGGGGCCGCCCCTAGGCTGTAATTGGTCTTTAGTTTTTTTGTGCCTAGCGTCCTTCTCCTGCAGGTGGCGATATTACCCTACAGTACATGATCTCCGATCTGTTCCCTGTGTCCTTCAATGAACGGGAGAGAAATATCAAATTGGTACTCATACTCTATACCGAGAAACCGGTATCGGTGCATCCCTTATTATAACCACCATGTATAGTGATAAAATTACAACCTATGCAATTTTGGTCCGGCCTTTGTCATATTCATCCATATTTATTTTTTTGGGTATAGCTAAAACACTCACTTTTCTAGATTAGGGCACCAACCCCTTTCATCCTTGCTTTCTTTTTATTTGGTTCACAGGAAGCAGTATGCAGTGCAGAGAATAAAGTTGAAGAATACACTTCTCTCCCATTTAAATTTCTTCAACAACACTAAAATTCTGGTTACATAGCCAATGCCTGGACACTGGTCCCATGGTCTGTTCCAAAGGGGAAAATCAGTGAACATAGTAGGGCCGCTGACTGGCTTCTGCTATTAGAATTAAAGTTACACATGCCTCTTTAGCTTGCATGACCTCTAGAACTATAGGGCATGGCAAGCATTGTTTACAACCTGCCTTGCAGCTGAATGTGTACCAATGACTGCTCACACATAAAGGGGTAGAAGAGAAGCACTGACAGGCAGCTTGAAGCCAGCAAATTACAAGTGTGAACTGAGGCGAGTGTATAGAAGTAGTCATAAAATTGAGGGTATGAGAGGAGACAACCAAACTACAGGCTGCCTGACCAATTACAGTGTAATCACAGCATAGCAAATGGCGCAGAGAGGAGTGGAGTGAAGAGAAAGTGAAGGTATAGGATATTTTTTTTGTTGCGCATTTAGTATATGGGCAATGTCACTGAATTATTCAGAAGATATTATTCTCCTATAGACAGAAGTAAAATAACTTCACAAATCCTCCAGGATGCAAGATTTAGTAGAAGCGACAAGCTTTATGCAGGCTGAGAAAAGAGTAGAGTATCATTTTGGGAGTACGGGAGAGCGACAGCCTTACTTCCGGCTTTTGTACTAACCTTCATGTTCATCAAGACTTTCCCTCTTGTTTGGCCTTTCCACCTCAGTGTTTTCTACATTTTCCTGATCCCGCACCTGAGCATTCATATAAAATAACTACAATTAAAAAAACTATAGTGCAATGTAAGGAGTTTGACAGAAATATCAAACCCAACCAGGGGCTTTAATTTAATAACATATAATGTGCACCAACCCACAATAAGGGATCAAAAATCTTATTTACATTATTTGATAAGGTAACCCCCCCGTGAAATAATCATACTGTAGATCACTTTACTGTATCAAAATACAAAAACAGTGAGGGGAATTTATCAAAACTGGAGCACACAGAAGCTGATTGGTTGCCCTTGGCAACTGCTCCAGATTCTCTCTTCAGTTTGTTCAGTTAAGATTTGAAAATGAATGGGAGAAGCTGATTGGTTGCCCTTGGCAACTGCTCCAGATTCTCTCTTCAGTTTGTTCAGTTAAGATTTGAAAATGAATGGGAGAAGCTGATTGGTTGCCGTGCAAATCTGCTCAAGATTTTGTCTTATCCAGTTTTGATAAATTCCCCCATTATATTTAAAATACAGCTAAAAAGTGTTAAAGCCATCTCAAGAAAAATGTTTCCAATTGGTTTTGTGTGTTTAGGCAGTGTGTCTCAAACTTTTTTTTTTTTCAGTCATTCACCCTTTAAAATACGCAAAATCTCCAGGCAGCTCAGTCTAAAAAAAAAAAAAACTTTATCCGAGATAGGGTAGGGTACTGCTTTTAAGGGGGGTAACTTCATGCAAAGCCAAAAAATGGGGTTCCCCCTTTACATCAGAATCCCTCCTCATCCGGAGCCCCCTCCTACCACATCTATACACTTTGTTGTATAGCTAATGTCAAGCTCATACCCGAATGCCCAGACATGTTACAGTTTTCAGAATAAATTTAGGACCTTGTTATTTTCTAAACAGATAAAGCTTCATATTAATAAATCTAATGTATAATAACAGAACCTGGACCAAAAAAAAAAAAAACTTACATGGGCCTCGATTTCTGGCTGAGACTGTTCATCCTCAGGGGCACAATCTGAAAAAAAAAAAAAATTAACCATAATAAGGGAAGAAAAAATAAAACTTAACTTTAGGTCTACGCATAGTGTAAATTGTACAGTAAAGATTTAAAAAGTGCAGAAAGGGCGACCTTACCCTTTTCAGATTTAGGGGTGCTGTCTTTAGAGGCATCAGTTGAGGTAGCATTTTGCATTTCTTCTGCTTGTTTAAATATCACATCAGAGTTTCTGGATGTACTTGCAAAATCATCATGATCACCACTTGATGTATCAGTTCTTTCTGATTTTGATTCTGAATGAATGTTTTCGCTAACATTATCTTTTTCCATAATAGTAGCTGTGTCTTTCACAGTAAGAGGGTCGTCAGTATGATCTTTTGAGGGAGTTTGTGCTTGGATGTGCTCTAAATTGTCTTCTGAGGGAGTGCTGTTCTCCGGCAAGAAATCACCTACGGACTCTGTCAAGCTTTCTACACGTATTTGATTTGCCACTTCAGAATGTGAAGTTCCACTATTTATATCAGAGTTAAGCAAGGCTTCATTTGCTTGTACTTGACAGCTCTGTGGCCCCACAGAAATATCTGAACTCAATTCTTGTGTTCCAGGTTGGTTTTCGCTCTCCAAATCAGAACTTTGGGTTGTACCAGATGAACCATCTTCAGGGTTATTCTCTAAATGTTCCGGTGCCGTAGTGAAGCTTGTAACACACTCAAGAATTTCTGAGTTTAAATCTTCCACTTCCTCAGCTGTTTCTTCATCAGGGTTCGCCGTGCTTTCTTTAGGTTTCTCAGCAGTATGCATCAAAGTGGAGGAGTTGTGTTCCACAGTGTTCAAAAATGAAGACTCCTCACCAGGTGTCCCAGAACTTGTAACAAATCCTTCACCCTCTTCCTCATCCTCTTTAGCACCAGTGCTTGTAATGGCACTTTCATCATCTTCAGTAATGGCTCTAGGGCCAAGGTTTTCTGGTACGTTCATACCGGCACTTTCATTGGTCTCCGTCTCTCCAGAACATGCTACTTCATTTTGTCCTTGTAAGGTTTTATCACCATAATTTTCTTCGGTTATACCTGTACTTGTCACAGCCCCTTCACCTTCTTCTGTCATCGGCTGATTAGTCCGCACAACTTCATTTTCGGTGCCTGCTTCTGCAATCATTTCATTAGGGGCATTTTCAATAGATACATCTTCAGATTCTTCACCTGTTCTGTTGTCTGCAGAGGCTTCAGACACTTGATCTTCATTTAAATCTTGATCACTTGCATGTGAAACAGAAGCTTCCTCCACAGGAAAGTTAGCTTCCACAACGCTGATGTCAACATTAACAACTTCTTTATCTGCACGGGTGACAGAGGCTTCAGAGTTTTCCCTACTCACAGATGACTCTCCTGCATCTGTACCAGCACTGGTGACAGTACTATCCGTTTCTCCATCCCCAAGCTGCCTTGTGGCCTGTCTAGACGCATTACCAACAAATCTTTGTTCCTCAGAGCTGGCACTACTGACTGTGTCTTCTTTTTCATCATTGTTTTCATAATTTACTGAATTCATTCCATCATTGGCATTCAATTCAACATGTCCAACATCCTCCTCATCTGCGTGTAACGGAGCAACAGCATCTTGTAGTGTACCAGAAATAGCAATATTACTATGGTTAGCAACAAAACTCGACTCCGCAGCCATCTCTATAGATCTACAACTGCTTTCATTGCTATGACTCTCATGAACACCACTAATAACTAGCTCATTTTGTCTTTCAATGCCGGAAGAAGTTGTGGCATCATCAACTACCTGTCTGTTTTCAGATGTTTCAGTAATAATTTCTTGAACCCTGCCATCACCATAACTTGAAGAACTAGCAGCTTCAATATTCTTTGACAGTCCTGAAGCCTGTGCCACACCTTCCACACTATTATCCATGGTATAATCTGATGACGTTGCATTGTCATCACCCTCGTCCAGTGGTGACCCCATGGTATTGCTTGAACTGGCTGCTGTGGCTTCACTATTAACATCACATCCATCATCCATATCTTTATCCAAATCAATGTTTGTGCCTGTGGATGTTGTGGCGTAAGGGTTATTGTTGGAAAGAGCATCACATGTTTTATCATCTTCTATGCTGCTGTCCATCATATCGCTCGATGTAGCTGCTTGTTCATTAACTTTATCTGCAAAAACAGTACCTTCCACATTTTCTTTAGTTCTATTTGTTTCCATTATGCTTGAAGAGGCAGGACCTCCGTCTTTTGTTGATTGTTCTAGGCATGCCCTGTCCATACTGTTAGAGGATGTTGCAGTATTTGTTCTGCTACACAAACCTGCAACATTTATGTTCAGATCTTCGCCGGTACTGCTGTCCATTGACACACTTGATGATGCTGTGGGCTGTATGTTGTTGTGATTTACATCAATGAAGGTACTACGGTTAACTGAACTGCTAGATGAAGTTGCTGTAGTATCAGAGCTGTTTCCTGGAGAGGTTCTAAAATACTGCTCACTACTGCTATTCATAGCAAAGCTTGATGATGCTGTGGCTTCTGTGTTTTCAGAGTTCAATGTGCTTCTAATGAGCCTGTGTGGAGTGTCGCTACTAGTAAAAGAGCTCGAGGGTGATGCCGCTTCATCACCCACAGTCTGCGTTAGAGATAAGGATGCTCCACTACTGGAAGATGCTGCACTGTCTTTTTCCTTTGTCTGTTCCAAAAATGTATCATTCTCAGGGCTTTGATCTCCCCTACTACTGGAACATCCCATTGTAGCACCAGAATAAAACTCACTGCTGACGGAAACTGATGCTTCAGTGCTACTATCCATTGCAAGATCAGATGAATTGCCTGGATATTCTTTTGAGGTGCCAGAAGAGATGATGTCCATACCTGTATCATTCATGCCATCTTGCTGTGTGCTTGAGGTGGCTCGAGTATTCTTACTATCGTCTACATTACCAAAGTTATGTTTACTTCTGCAAGTACTAGGAAGGTTACTGGAAGAACTTGATGCTTCTTCACTCTCTCTTTCTGACGCATCTTTAAGCCATTCACTAGAATCATCGCCCATACTGCTATCCATTACAGTGCTGGATGATGCTGCTATGTTTTCGTTATCAATTTCAGAGGAAACCAAAGAGCCAAAGTTTAGTTCTCTACTGCTATTAATCATGCTGCTTGACGAGGTGGCTGTGTGCCTTTCCAAAATCCCAAGGCCAAAATTAATACCTGCTGAGGAGCTTGATGAGGTAGCAGACTGAGCTGCAATATTTTCAGAAATATCAAATGCTCCATCACCTTCTGAAGAAGTTGCTACATGGCTAACCATTTCAGAAGCTCTACAAGAGCTGGCACTCTCTGCATTGCCATCAGAAGATGTGGCTGTTTCACTGACATTGTTTAAAATTTCTGCTTCAAGATTACTTCCTTCTGCATTGTCAGAAGAAGATGCAGCATTATCATGGGTGTTTTCTGAATGTTCTATATAGGCACTTGAAGAAGTAGCAGCTTTAAAGGTAACATTACCAACTTTTTCTGTTGTATCTGTTGTACTCTGAGAGCAAGTGGCAGCATTTTCTCTCCTTTTTTCTGACAGTGAGGGCTCCAAAAAGCTATCTTCATTGTAATGTTTCCTATCAGAGCTTGATGAGGTAGCAGTATCTTCAAAGCTATTCTCTGATAACATTGCAACGTCTCTATCGTCTCCATCGTCTTCAACAAAATTACCATCTGCAGAAGCAGAGGATGTGTATTCCCTGCTGTTATCCAGATTTTCCCGTTCCGTTTCTATGCAAGTCTCATCTGTACTGTTATCAACTGGTGTATTGGAAGATGACGCAGTATCATCAACACCTTGCCTTAACTCGTTTTCTATCCGGAAGCTGGAAGAGGTAGCAGTTGCATCATGCTCAATTTTCTTTCTACTCGCATTGCCTTCTCTAGGGGCAATACTATCAATCCCTTCATTACTGGGTTCCATAATACTGCTACCAATATTTCTTTCCATGCCAGTCACATTATCAGAGCTACTTTGTCCTTGTAGTGCATCTGAAATCTTTTCATTTTTTTCTCTAACCGGATTAACAGAAATGTCCCCTTCAACCTCATTTCCAGTAACGAGATCATCAACCTCCAAACTGTCCAATGGGACCAGAATATTAACACGCTCATTATTAATTTCCTTCAAACATTCTCCTGCTAGGTCACTTGTAGAAATCTCCCCATCATTTGAGTCTGCTACATCAGGATATATTTCAATGGGGGAAACACTGGAATGGTCAATACTATGTGGCGTGGAATCCAATTCCCTTTGCTCCCGAGCAGAACATTTTATTGTGCTAGATCCAGCAAGATCCTCTATCCCACTGTATGAACTTCTGGCTCTCTTAGAAGGCATTCCTGCATCAGACTCTTCTGTAACATCAGTACCATCTTTTGAACTGAAGACAGTCTTTTCATTTTCATCTATGCTGTCGCAAGTTGAAGTATCCGAGTCTTTAATGGAACTTAGATCATGTCCTAGTAAAGTTTTAGAAGTATTTTTATAGAGATCACTAGTTTTACTGTCATTTAATTCACTGTTTCCATGCTTTGACTTGGATTTTAATAGCATGGGCTTTTTGGAAGAAGGGATTTCAGATGAAGATTGAGGTTTGCTGTTGTCAGGATGTGTTATTTTTGATAGATCTGCAACCTTTACAGCTACAGATGGCTTTTCGTTTTCACCCATTACACTTCCTGTTTTTTTATGATCTCTGGGATCTTTAGTCTCACCAGATCCTGATTCAGTCGAGAGGCCATCACTTTCACCTTCTGATCTGGAGCCTTTCTTTGCACTCGTTTCCTTAGAACTTTCACTTTTGGACTCCGAAGATGTTTTCTTACCCACTTTTGTATCTGAGCTACTACTTCGTTCTTGAATTCTTTTTTCATCTGAATTCTTAGCAGATCTTTCCTCTGCTTTCCTTCCATCTTCCTTCCGTTTAGCCTCTTTGTGACTATGCTTTAAGTTCGAACTCTTGGAGCTTTCCCCAAACATTTTCTTCTCGAGCTTAGAAGATCCATGTTCCTTGCTGTCAAGGCGAGCCCTTTCCTTTGATTTTTCACTTGTATGCTTGGGCTTGTGGCTTGTTTCTTTTGCTGTACTGCTTGAGGCCTGAGAATTACTGTCCCTTCTTTCTCCAATATCTTTATCTTCAGACTTTGTTTTCCGATACTTTTCAGTAGAACTGTCAACTGCAACCTTATCCTTTTCATTTTTATTTTCTGCCTCTTCTTGGTCATTTGGTTTTGATAACTTGTTACTGCTACTTTTAAATTTTGCTTTGGCATGGAGCCTTTCATCTGAGGAGCTATGTAGTCTTTTTTTGTCTTTGTTTTCCTCCTGTCTGGATTGATCAGAATTGGCAGAGTCGGCCTCATTTTTATCATCTGATGAACTCTTTGACTTTTTCTGAGATGAATGTGCCTTTGACATACTTGGAGATTCTCTGTGGTCCCTGGAGTCACTTGTTGACCGTTTATAACGGTGCTCAGATCTAGACTTTTCAGAAGACAGATGTCTGTCTTTTTTACTACTATCACGTCGAGGAACGTCTTTTTTGCTAGCATGTTCAGATGTTCTTTCCTCTTTACTGGATGAAGATGACGACTTTACATCACTTTTTTGTTTCCCTTTCCGGTCAGACCTCTCTTCTGAACTGGGTTTAGCGTGTTTGTGCAAGTGGTTGTCAACTTTAGTTGTCCTCTTAGATTTCTGAGAGTCAGATTCATCACTTCCTTGTTTATGTCCATTGTCTGTCTTATGCCTATGCTTGAGAGATGAACGCTCATCTTGCTTGAAGGAGGAACGTTCTTCCTGCCTGGCGGAGGACCTCTCTTCCTGCTTAGAGGCGGCCCGCTCCTCCTGTCTGGAGGATGAACGCTCTTCAGACTTAGAAGATGAACGGTCCTCAGACTTAGAAGATGAACGCTCTTCAGACTTAGAAGATGAACGCTCCTCTTGCCTGGAAGACGTCCGCTCTTCTAGTCTGGTGGACGATCGATCGTCCGAATATGTTCGTTCACTTTTATGAGCTTTTGGCTCTTTTCTTGGTGTACCCTTTACATTCATTACATCACTGTCAATGCTTTCTTTTTTTAAATGTTTGTCAGGTTTGCTGGATGTTCTGGACTTCTGATGTTCTTCAGAGTTTGAGTCTAATCTCTCTAGTTGCCTTCTAGTATCGTGGGTCTCTAGGTCTTGTGTTTTTTCTAAAAATGAAGATGATTTCTTTTTACTCTCTTTTTCAGTTCTGGAGTCACTTTTAAGCTCTTCTACTTGTTCAAATGATTTTTTGGATGATTTGCCATCAGATTTTCCAGATTTACTGTCTTTTGTGGAGGAAGATATTCTATCCTGAGACTAGTAGAAAAAAAATAATATTCATTAATACAGGCAAATCCAAGTAACATATGCAAATGTGTACAGAACAAATACAAATGTTGTTAATCTTACTGT